CGGGGTCACATGGAGGCCACAGAGACGCGGCACCTGTTGGACGCCAAGCCCAGACCCCGGTAAGGGGACAGCCTGGGCGCGGGAGGAATTGGGGCGGCATCGGACGCGCCTCCTCATTTGCCTCTGGGCCCTGGTTGGTTTGTGCCGAGGCTTGGACCGACCGGGACCCCGCAGGAGGGCTGAGTGAGCGGAGGGGAAGAGGAATTGACCATCGCGCCTTGGCGTGGACCGCCTGGCCCTCGGATGGCGTGCAGGGCGCAGACCCTGACCCTGCAGGCCGAGGACGGCGGGGTGAGGGGCGTAGGGAGAGGTAGACCGATGCTGGAGCTCCGCCCCCGGCCCAGCACTTTGCCCCGGGCAGCCCCGCCCCGAGAGGCCCGGTGTACCCCAAGTGCTCTGGGGGGGGCTCTGACCTCCTCCCTGAGCACAGGTTGGCCCTTCTCTGCGCTCGGCTGGACAGCCCACCCCTTGGCCAGTTCCCAAGGTCTTTGCAGGGGGAGGAGGGGACGTCCGGCAACCAAGGCCCAAGACGCCCGTCCTAGCGGAGGCCTGGATCTTGGGCTTTTCCCCTCTGGTCACTGCCGACGGACTGTGAGCCCGGGACAGCCCTTAGCTTCTCTGCCCATTGGTCGGTGGAGACACCAAGGTCTCACAGAGAGATGAACTGGAGGCTCCGCTCTCAGAGCGACGTGTCCCTTCTTCCTCCTGGCCAGGTCATACATGGGATCCCTGTGGCAGGATGGCACCGGCTGGATCCCTCTGCGGGGACCTGGCCTGGACTTGCAGACCATTGAGTTGGCTGCCCAGAGCAACCACCACTGCCACGCCCAGAAGGGTCCTGGCAGTCCCTGTGACCCCGGGAAGGAGCGGGCGCGGCGCCAGCTCTACGTGGCCTCTGCCATCTGCCTGGTGTTCATGATCGGGGAAGTCGTTGGTAAGGACCTTAGTGCTGACTGGGGCTGGGGCGCGGGTAGTCTGGGTATTCCAGATAGTGGAACTAATAGCCGTCGGGCACGTGGGCTCGCCAGAGAGAGACAGAGGGCCGGGGAGAGACCGAGGGTCGGTGAGAGACCAGCCCCCAGGGGAGATGGCGCCAGGCAGCCTGGTCTCCATTCCCCTCTGGAGACGTTGGACATGCCTGTGCGCGCCCCTGGCTAGATTTCCAAGCCACCAGGTCCAGGGCCGGCTGTGGTGGACCACGTGGGGACCCAGTGTCCTAACTACCGCCACCTGCCGGCCCCCTTGCCCATTTCCCAGCGCCCTCTGGGCCAAGCCCTTGTATACACAGTCATGTGGTTCTCGCAGCCGGCTGGTGCGTGGTACTGCTCCCGCGTCTTACAGGAGATCCAACTGAGGCAGGTTAAGCTTAAATGATGTGTAGGTGGGGCCGGCAGGTGGCGAGGTGCATAATGACGCTGGTTCGAGTCCTGGACCGGGCAGCTTGCTTTCTCACTTTCCTGCTCTCTCTCTCTCTCTTTCTCATTCTCACTCTGTTCCTCTCTGGTCAAATTAAAATAAATAAAGTTAAATAAAATAATTCTTGAAAAAAAAAAGTGTATAGGTAACAAAAGGCCTTAATGCTTGGGAGGAAAGAGCATCTTCTGAGTGCCTCCCGTGGTTTTTTGTTTGTTTGTTTTTTGGAGAGGTTTTTGCTATAGGGTGCGTGTGCTCGCCAGACAGAGAGACAGAGAGACAGAAAGAGAGAAATCGCCCCCCAGGGGGGA